GCCATTTGACGTAGTTTTGCGACTGGTCGTCTACAATCCAGTACATTTTGGGGTACTTTTGCTTCATGCGCTGGAAGACCAAGTCGTTCAGGTTGTTCAGGAAGGCATCCTTGGTCATGCTGAAGTGCGAAAGCTGTGCGAACTCACCGTCGGCAGTCGGTGGGTAAACGACGGCAACGACGCCCATGGAATCATCATGGAAGACCTCAAATGGTCGCGTCTTGAGGTTCTGAATATATCTGTTGACCGCATCGGCAGCGTCGGCGGCTTTGCTCTTGGTGATAGCCTCTTGCAGAGCAGGGACGTCCAAATCCTCGAACTTGCTGGTCTCCTTCACACTGCCGCCGTTGCGGATAAGAGTGCCGCTTCCGGTATGGGTGAACAGCTCCTTTCCGAGGTTCGAGGGGTGTGTGATGGCTACACTCGACGTGCGCGGGAGACCGTCCAGGAGCTTCTTGGCCTCCACTATCTTAAGCTTCGTACCGTATCTAACCCATGACTGCTTCATGTAGGTGTCGTACTCGCCCTCCAGGTTGATGTGGGGGATGAGCTTGGACTCGGCGTTGAAGAGTCCTCCCTTCTCAGAGAGGTAGATTACCTTGAGAGGCTGGAACTCGCGCGCCAGAGCTGCGGCCGCTACGTCGGCGTTAATGTTGAGGATCTGGCCGTCGAGCGTCTCGCCCATGGAGCACAGGATGGGCAGTTCCTTGTTCTCCAGCGCATCCATGATCTGCCTCTTGTTGACCGTGGTGATGTTTCCGACGTACTTCCACTTCTCCTTGTCCAGATAGTCGGCTTGCAGCGCACCCGCGGTGATGGGCCGCGCGGGCACGCCCCAATCCCTCTTCAGCGTCATGACCAGGTCCATGTTTGCCTCGAGGAACAGCTTGCGCGCAATACCCAGCGTCTTCTTGTCGGTTACGCGTATGCCGTCAATGAAGTCGGGCTCGACACCCGAGTCGAGCAGCAGCTGGTTCATCTGCGGGCCGGCGCCATGGACGATGATGGGGTACAGGCCGATGGCGTGCAGCTGCTGGAGGGCAAAGCATAGCTCCTCGAGGTGGTCGGTGAGAATGGCGCCTCCGACCTTGACGACAGCGAACTGGTGCGGCGAGACGGAGCGGAACTGGCCGAGGTACTGGTCGACTTCGCGGCGGGAGCTGGAGCTGGCCAGCAGGTTGAGGAAGGCGGCGTAGATGGACGAGTTGCGGCCATCCTTGGACGTCGTGTACAGGCGGCTCGGGGTGCTGCTAGCGACGAGGGCTCGCGGGAGGGCTCGCGGCGTCTGGCGGGCGAGGACGCGGGAGGAGGATCGGGCAGCCACACGGCCGGCTCGTACAAAGCTCTGCATGGTGAGTGTCGCTCCCAAGAAGCAGAAGCAGTCGCAGTCGCTGCTCGGGCCCTGGGCGACTTAATCCAACGCGAATTGCTGCGGTGACTAGACGGTGGAGCCGTGAGGGACCAAATGGGTCCTGAGATATGACGCGGAAGCAACAAATTTCGCTGCGCCGTTATCGCTGCTTCCCCAGACCACAGGGAACTTTCCCTAGCGCCGCCGGAGACAGCTACCTAACTTTGTACGCATGGAGAACGGCAGCCGCAGATCAGACTTTTCAGCCATCATTCCTGCATGCCTGCGCGCTTCGAGCTGCTGTTGAGGCAAATTTTCTCGAAAGACAAAAGGCCCTTTCCCAGCTTGCCCATCCTGCGCCGCCCAACCCACAGCACTGTGGACACTACTAACTTGCGAGGACCTAGCACTAGGTCCACGGGAAAGATCAGGCGCCCTAGTGCTGAGGTATACTAGAACCATTATCTCTTACTTGAATCCATTGTATCATGCGAAGTACCAAAGATTGTGGTAGTGACACTGGATATCTGAAAGCCTAGTCCTAAACGGGTAAGGTCGCCTTGTGTCCATATGTCAACCACTCGAAGTCACATTACAGTCCCGAATTACAGCAAGCCTCGTGTGCCTACTTATCTCCAACCTCGAATCAAACTTCTGCATCCCAACCAATGCATACATTTCTCACCCCGGATCCGACAATCGCTACCACCACTTGGAGAGTAACCAAAGCATGCTGTCCGGATACATCGCTCAGCCACATCCACTTCAGTGACCAGCCTCCGCAGATACCTGTCTACCGCCCAGTTCACGGTTACCCATCGCCCTAGGGATATCTTCTGGACCCATATACGTTGCTTGATTAGACTCCCACATGCTATGGGTATTGTGTTTCGCCTCGATCTCTCCTATCGGTAGGTCATGGGATAGATCGACCGGGCTTCTGCGTCGCTTGCGTAGGATCCAACCAAGCCAGAAGGCGAGACCGAAAAGTGCTGCTGCTCCTAGAACTGCACCCACGCCTATGCCTGCTTTGGCACCTGTAGACAGACCATTTGTAGAAGGCGAGGCTGTGTTTGTGGCTGCTGTTGGGATACTAGTTCTGGATGTCGTGGTTATGTCGGTCGCCGATGATCTTGCTGCTGAAAGGGATGGAAGTGACGGGGTGGGCGGCAAGAGCAAGATAGAAGGCGGTGTCGGCGGAGGTAGTGTTATACCTCCAGACATCGCAGCAAGTCGATTTGCGATGCCCTGTGTAGGTAGGCTGAAAAATGCCTGCGGACTCTACTGCCAAAGCAAAGAGGCCTGATTCGCGAAAGACTCGAGTTAGAAGAGGGACTGTACGATGATGACTAAGGCTATAAGAATATGACAGAATGTTGGGGTGTACTGCTCGAAAATCAAGAGGCAGACTTCAAGTATCACTCCGAGTTAGCAGTGTTGCTTTTGCCCTGTGCATAGTGGCTGGCTTACATGAGTCCAGCCGTGACGAGTCTTGTGTGAAACGCCACACGTACGTCAATCTTAGAAAGAAAGATGGTTACAAGGCAGTGTAACAATGATACTAACATAGAACTGCCGATTCAGAGCCTACCCAGCCTATAGCAATAGGATAGCTATCTCAGCCTCGTGCTGACATGGAAAGACTGCCCAAGGCTGAGGCTATGTGTCAGCATGCGAACGCCACAGACTTTGATCTATCCAACTATCTGCTGAGATTTTCAATGTATTGGTGATGTATTGTTGGTTTCTCCTGTCGGCAAACCCTGGGACGTATCAACCGCGCATCTACATCGTCTACGCAAGACCCACCCCCAAAAGCGCCGCTACTCCCAGAACCACACCTACACCTACGCCTGCTCTGGAGCCTGCAGACGGACCGGTACTAGAAGGCAAAGCCGTATCTGTTCCAGTCGTCGGGACATCGGTTGTAGATGTCGCAGTTGACCTGTCATCCACTGAGGAGCTCGCCAATGACGTAGAAGGCGCTAGTGACGAAATCGGTGGCGATGATGGAGCGACGTCGTCAACATCAGTACAGGTACAGTTCGGTCGACACACCACCACCATACCAGGGTCGTCGCAACAACTGTTCGTCGTGTTAATGCGTTTTCGATTTCGATTTGTGCAGGCTGCGGATAGATGCTGTCTCAGATGCTTTTGATTTGATCAGAGTATGTAGTTAAATGACAAGAGCTTACAAAGCAGTATTTCCCTGCGCAATCGGATACTCAGGATCCCAAGCCAAAGGACAGTTGGTGTAGCAGTTGTAGGAGTAAGACGGGTAGTTTGTTTGTAGACCGAGACGAGCGTCTAGACCGTAGCATTGTGCCGAGTTAAAGGGATCGGAGCAGAGAGCGTATGCACAGGTTCCTTGGACGTTGTTGCAGTTCGATTGGCCTTGTCGTGCGAGGCTGAGACCGCTTGTGCAGTTCGCCATTGGAGGTAGGTCGAGTTGCGGGACCTTGTTGTGGGTGCAAGACTAATTGTTGCTATAGAGTCTACGGACAAATCAGAAAGAGGGGGATGTGCTTCACGCGTGGGGAGGCGAGGAGTTGAAAGAGTAGCTAAAGGTACGGGAAGATGACAGTAGGATGTGCGAGTGAACTGATCGAATATCATCTGACAGGCTTTAAATATTCCAAGGTTGTTCTAAGGGAGTGCGTTTGTTTTCACGCGGCGCATAGTGGCGTACATGAGTTCAACCTTGAGACGTATAGTGTAGAGCGCCTTACGCATATCGCTCTTGAACAAGGACGTCGCAAAGCAGCGTGACGGTGAACTCGGCATGGAAATGCCGGATCGGAGCTCAGTCGGCCTATAGCAAGGAGATCGCCTACCGACATAGCCGTGTGTGTGTGGTTGGCCTGATACAAGTGTCAGTAGTTTACTCAAGGCCGAGTTAAAGTGTCAGCAGGCTGGTGCCACAGACTATGATCTATCCAACCATCCCTGGGAAGATCTGGGGTATTTGGGATGTATTGCTGGTGTTCATCGAGAAGGTCCTCAGCCCCATGAGCTAATGGCGTATCTAGTCGGGTGGTACGGCGGTTGCCGCAGTCACCCCGCTCAAGAACAGGATATGACGACGGTGTTCGTTGTACAGAGTGTTGTTTGAACGCTCTTTACCGAGTATACTGCGTGATCAGTCTAGTCTCTGTTTGTACCCATTGTCAAAAGGACGGTGCCTAAGTGGCAGCTCTTTCAGGTTGTTCTCGAACTATGATCCACCTCCTTACTCACTCCTCCATTCTTTCACGCAGCAGTACACAATCAAGGCATAAGATGTAAATTGACTATAGACATGCAAGACAGCAACTCACAATGCATAAAACTCCATTTGCTCGTCTGACGACCATGCTGGGGGAACTGGGCTCTCGTTGGATATTCGTAGCGGTTGGCGGAGTTCGTTCCATGCAAAGGAGCTTATCCGTGAGTGCAGCACAGCACGACCGTCTGAATGCAAAGAAAGACAAGAAACAGATCTGATCCATCGCTCCGTGTTCGCCGTGACACACATCCTACAGTGAGACCGCTGTCGTTGATCGTAGTGCAACTCGTAGCCATTCTCCTCCGTCCCCCAATGGCTGTGCAACCTCCCCCGTCCGCGCTATTATTAATGTACTGGTTCGTGGTATCTCGTGGGTGTGGTTTAGTTCTTTTGCGTGGCAACGACTGTGTGTGTTAGCCATAGGAAGCTTGCAGTTGTCTACGAGGAACGGCTTACCAGAAGGAACGATAATGACGATGAGCAGGATGATGATGCCCACAATGAGGCACATGCGCATCTTCATGTCCTTCCACCACATCTGCTTGCGCACACGGTTGGCGCCCCTTCGGAAGCCCTGGGCGGACACGGCGAGGTTATCGGTCTTGTCCTGTAGCGAGTCTAGACGGGCTCCTCGCTCTGAGACCTTGTTGATGTTGTCCCGCATGATGCCAACGGTGCTGTCGATTTCCTGGGATGCGAGTCAGCACGAGGTCACACATGTTTTAAGCTTCTTTGAGTCGCTCTTTGCGCACGCATACTCGTTCGCATGTGCGCGCAAAGCCAGTAGGAGGGTGCAGCGAGAGTGCGAGGCAGTCTAGTCACTGTCGCATCGCTGATGCAAGCTCTCTGCCGGCCACTGCGGCTCGACCATAGGTGCCTTGCGAGGATGCGACAAACGACGTAGCGCTCGACCCGCACGCAGAAGAAAAAGAACAACATACCGCTTGGAGCGCAGCTGTGCGGTGGTTGCCATTCTGGCCCTGGCCGCCCTGCTGGCCACCGGCGCCGCCGCTGGGGATGTAGGGATCGTACGGGGGCTCTTCGCGGCTCGACATGGTTGGAGATGGAGTGTGCTGGAGATTCCGGATAGCGTGCGACTGGCGTAGGCTTCAAGAGGTGGTGGTGATGGATAGGTGTGGGTGGTGAGGTGGTGTCTGGAGGATGGAGATGGTGGTGTGGTTGCCCAGAGGAAGACCAAGAGTCCGCTCAGCCCGGATGGCGAACGAGCGCAATGTGTCAGCTCCGTTTGAGCAGTGAGGCTGATGTTTGCGTGAAACCTGGCGCAACAACACGGAATTTTAATCTGTGAATGCCAATATATCTGCGCAGTGTCCACAGTCGAGTCAACAGCGAATTCGATGTTCCAACGGTTATGACGGTATTCTATTCAAGTTGATGCGATCGCTGCCGTGCCTGCTTCCGGCCCCCATCTGGATCTGGGCTGCCCAGCCTGCGCCACTGCACGTGATGAACACCAGCCTCGCGATTACGACACTCTGGCTATGAGGCAACAGGTGCTGCACGATCCGCCATCGGTCCGTCTACACGCTCGAAAACTTCACAGATAAATTCCGCCTGTCCTCAGCCCGTCGACGACGGTCTTTGAAAGTAAAGACGGGTCCGTCGTCTCAGCCTCGCTGTTACGAGGCCAATCTTACTGCTTACCAGACTTCCGTCCGCAGCTGCGGCGTGGCAACACGGCAATACGACCTGCGACGAGAACAAAGACGGACCGGATTTTGACAAGACAATTACACTAAACGTAGTGTGTAGTTGGCGCTTCGTCATCACTGTCGTCGCTGCCCAGCCAGACGCCCGCATCGCCGCGTCTCTGCACAGCAAACAGAAGCGACAGGCGTCTTCGTCAACGAGACACATTATGCAGCAGAAGCATCGTGCATTGTCGTCAATAGAGTGTGCCTGCGTCGCTAGCCTATCAGGGCGAGAGGCATCCCCAGGCCTCACGCAGGCCAGGCGCCGTTTGTACCTGGCAAGTGGGTCTGATCGCCGCCAAGACGCGTGTCCAATGTCTTGAGTCTCGGTGTCTGCTACCCATTCGCCGCTCAGGAGTTCGCGCAACGCTTGCTCCACCGCCAGCTTCCTGTTTCCCGTTCCCTTCTCTTCGAACACACTCGCTGCACCGCTTCCTAATCGATAGACACCTCTAATCCCGTGTCGACCGCCGTGCCGTACGCGCCCCTGATCCCCGTCGCTCCTTTCATACCACCCGTCAATCAACCCGACACTCTCTACGATACCCCACGTCAAAGCCAAGCCGCCTGCTGGCCTGAAAGCTTGATCATTTCAACACTACTCCCTTCGCGACACTGTGCAGTGCCTCTCCAAGCCTGGCGCTGGACCCTGGCTGCAACTGCCGACTAGACCCGACCCAACATGAAGCTCACCTCTGCCCTCGGCGCCCTTGGCGCCTCGAACCTATTGTTCACAAGTGTGGGCGCGGTCGACCTGGATATTAGCTCCCCAGGTGCGACTTCCTCAAGTCTGACGCCAGCAAGCACACGTACTGACATGTACAGACTCCATCAAGCAGACCGCCAAGTCACTCTCCGCGAACTTGCGCAAGTACTACACCGGTGACAACCCAGGCGACACACCAGGCAATCTCCCAGATCCATACTACTGGTGGGAATGTGGCGCCATGTTCAATGCCTTCGTTGATTACTGGTACTACACGGGTGATGATCAGTACAACAAAATCACCACCCAGGCTCTAGAAGCCCAGATCGGAGTGAACGCCAACTACATGCCTGATAACCAGACCAAGACGCTCGGAAACGATGACCAAGCTTTCTGGGGCATGGCCGCCATGACGGCTGCAGAGAACAAGTTTCCTGATCTCCCCGATGGCAAGCCTTCTTGGCTGTCTCTTGCACAGGCCGTCTTCAACACCCAATACAAGCGCTGGGACATGTCGACTTGCGGTGGTGGTTTGAGGTGGCAGATCTTCAGCTTCAACCAAGGTTACAACTACAAGAATACCATTTCGAACGGTTGTTTCTTCAACATCGCCTCGCGACTTTACAAATACCTCGGTAACCAAACCTACGCTGACTGGGCTGAGAAGGCTTGGGAGTGGGAACTTTCGGTAGGACTTATGAGCCCGGACTACCACTACTACGATGGAACCGACGACACGCAGAACTGCTCAACCATCAACCATATCCAGTGGACGTACAATGCTGGCATTCACATGGCCGGTGCTGCCGCCATGTGGAACGTGTCACAGGACGAAAAATGGAAGACGCGTGTCCAGGGTGTCATTGACGGAATCGACGTTTTCTTCAAGGACAAGGTCATGTCTGAAGTCGCCTGCGAGAACAACGGCAAGTGTGACGTAGATCAGCGTTCCTTCAAGGCCTATCTTGCACGTTCGATGGCATACACAGCCAGTGTCGCACCTTGGTCCCGCGAACAGATTGACCCTTACCTCCAGGCATCCGCCCAGGCCGCGGCGAAACAGTGCAACGGAGGCGATCAGCAGACTTCATGTGGGCTGAAGTGGACCACAAATGGAGTCAACGACGGCAGCTTCGGTGTCGGTGAGCAGATGGCAGCCATGGAAGTCGTGCAGGCGCTGCTCTACCCGTCTACCAGTGGTCCTGCGACTGCTGAGAAGGGCGGTATCTCCAAGAGCAACCCCGACGCTGGCAACGACGATAAGAGTGACGATCCTATCAAGTTTGATGTCGTGACCACTGGCGACAAGGCCGGTGCTAGCATCCTGACCATCCTCGTGTTGGTTTCCATTGTCGTCGGCGCCTGGTGGATGGTGTCATAGATGTTATACCCGCCTTCATTTTGTATATCAGAGCGCGCACTTGGACTGTACTAGATCTTTTGGTTGTTCTTCATCGTCATTTTCCTTGGGCGCGATCAGGTTGCGGGCGCGTGTCGTACTATAGCCAATATTGACGTAATTTACATCAAAGCCGTATAGCACGTGTACTCTGACTCGTGAACCCATGTAGCATTCTCGCAGTCAGTACTTCCCCAGGCAACCCAAGGTTCACGTTCTTCTTTCACGTTCTTCTTGGTGAGAGAACCTTGGAACCAGCCACGGCTCGGCTAATACCACGCTAGTGGCCCGTGCGTACGAAAGCTGCGCCCGACTCCTCTTTCCTTCTTCGCGCGACAAAGATCTCTGCACACGACACACACCACCCGCGCACTCGACTCAACGGCGCCCTACTCGCTTTCTTGTCGCTCATCAACATTGCTGTCCCAATTCATCCTTGAAACTAACCACCTGGTCGCGCGCATTTCCGATGGCCGCTCCCCCCGATCTCAACGCCATCCTGGCGGCGCTCGGTATGTCGCTCACACTCTCACCACGCCCGCGACGTTTGTACTGACTGCCCTTGTAGCTGCTGGCCGTCCCTCGACTACCCCCTCGCAGACGCCCCAGCAGCCTCCCCAGGCGCAACATGCCCCTCCCCAAGGCCTTCCCCCAGGCTTCCCAGGCGCAATGCCCACTGCCACCCCGCCCGCCATGCCCGGATACAACTTCCCTCCTCCCACACACTCTGGCAGTCTTGATCTCAGCGCTATCAAGCCCGTAAGCTCCGGCTCAGTCAGCATCCAGGATGCGCTGGCCAAGGCGCGCGGCTTTGCGGCTCAGAAGGGCCTCGCACACGAAGCGCGTCCAGGTATACCTGAGTCTTGGTCTGGTTATGGTGTCCCAGCGCAAACTTACACAGCTCCAGCTTATCAAGAAGACCCGCGCCTAAGCGGACGCCAGCCCTACCGACGTTCTCGGTCGCGCTCGCGGTCCCCAGCGCGCCGAGAACCCGTGCGTGAAAGCTACAACCCATACCGCGATGAGCGTCGTGATGAGCGCCGAGGTGGCTATGGACGTGAACGTGATCGCTCTCCTCCTAGGCGTGACACCTTCTCTCCTTCGCAGCAGTACGGGCAGGCACGTTCGCCCCCTGCTAATGACAACTCTGAGGTGATTCTCATTGACTCTTCGTTGGTTGGCCTTGTCATTGGACGTCAAGGTGAGAGTCTCCGCCGCATTGAACAAGAATCTCAAACCCGCATTCAATTCATCAACGGCCCCGAGGCTGGACCTCAGCGCGAGTGTCGTATAACCGGTAGCCCGGGTGCTCGTATCAGTGCTAAGCGCGAGATCAACCGCATCATCGAAGAAAATGGCGGCAATCCTGCTCGTGAGACTGGCCGCAATGCCCGACCCGCCGCTAAAATGGTTGGCCAGCAACAGCCCGCTCTTCGTGAGGGTGAACAGTCGTCGCAAATTATGGTGCCTGATCGTACTGTTGGTCTCATCATCGGCCGTGGCGGTGAGACTATCCGTGATCTGCAAGAGCGCAGTGGCTGCCACGTCAACATTGTCGGTGAAAACAAGAGCGTGAATGGTCTGCGACCTGTGAACCTCATCGGAAGTCCCACTGCTGCCGCACATGCCAAGGAGCTCATCATGGAGATTGTCGACAGTGACACTAAGCAAATGGAAGGTGGCGGTGCCGCCGCGCCGCCGCAGCAAGCATTCACCAGGCGTGATAACTTTGATCCCTACGGTGGAGCTGCTGCTGGAGGCGCTGGAGCCGGCAAGATCAATGATAGCATTCATGTTCCCTCTGATGCTGTTGGCATGATTATTGGCAAAGGTAACATCGCTTTGCACATGTTGTGGTTGTCTTATTAACGATTCATAGGTGGTGAAACTATCAAGTCCATGCAATCAGAGACTGGTTGCAAGATCAACGTATCGCAAGCTTCTGGCGCAGACATTGAGCGCGAGATTGGTCTTGTCGGAACCCGTCAAGCCATTGACGATGCTAAGCGAGCTATCTGGGAAAAGGTCGACCAAGTGGTAAGTTTGTTTGCTGTGTGACGTACTACACGGATGCTAATATCATGTAGCGAGAGAAGAACAACTCACGACGACGTGACAACGGAAACAACGACAATGGATACTCACACCAGCAGACACCCTCATATGGACAACCCGCCGCGGCCGCGCAGCCTCCTCAAGCAGCTGCACCCGATGCAGGTGGTGCTGCTTCTGCTGACCCATACGCTGTCTACGGCGGCTACCAAAACTACCTTGCAATGTGGTATGCGTCCATCGCCCAGCAACAACAGGGCGGTCAAGGAGCCCAAGGCCCTCCCGGCGCATAAGCGTCGCTTAGTTGCCGTGACCGATGCACATTTTGCTGAACCTTCGCCGAATGCTGCCCTGTTTGCATGACCCGAATGCTTGGAACTTTGCTGCGCCTGGCATGATAATCCACCCGATGACCCTGGACTATCTTCGAAATCTTCTTCTTGACTTGCGCGTAGCCGGCCTCGCCTTGTTGCTTGCATTACTATGCGCTGAGTGCTCCTCCGTCGAGAAAGCTTCTGGAGCTTGGGGCTGTTCAACGACATGGCCACGACTTCACTCTTGTCATCGCTGTCGCCTGCATTGTGTGAGCTGATCCTCGCTTCGACTATGCTCTTTTCAAGGATGATCTTCCTGCAAACCCCCTCACATCCGCGCAACAAAGTCGACAACTGATTGTTCACTTTACGCTTGCTATCTCTTGATCGATAAGACATAATTCGGTCTGTTCGAGCTATCAGGCCAGATTTGCCCCGTCTTTGTCTGCGCATGTCTATCATGATCTTGTAATCGGCATAGACCTCGTCATCGATCGACATTGTCTGCGAGGACCCAATACCACCAAAAAAGCGTCACTTTGTTCTTCATGCATATATTTTCGCGCATATACAAATCTGGACCTCCACCTGCCTTGGTTGGCACTGAAAGTTTGGGTTTTAATAGTCGCGTTAATGAACGTTGCACTTTGAGATCATCGTTTGTATAGTAGTTTATTTCGGATCATGGCTTTTAGATGCTGTGGCTCAATCACAAAATTAATTCCGTCACACATGTTTCTGGCGCCCGTGATACTTTGAGTTCTGTGCACGAGTGAGACTTACACCGGTGCAGTGCAGTCAGGCGCGTAATGGATCTGGGTGGACGCTGACAGGTCATGTAGAAGAGCTGGAGCATGACGAGGTCGGGTTACTAGCTGGATCGCCAACCGCGTGAGCGCTTCTGACATGAACAGTGACGAACTAATGATGTAGCGATGCAACGGCACACGATCCGAGCATGGAGTGTCGTCATTGGATGTTCTTCATCATGACTCTTCGCAAAGACGCGGCTACAGTGAACATGACCGAACACCACTAGCAACGGAGTTGAATATTGACAAGACACGGCTTTCCGGGCGTAACGCTGACCCTACACAGCTCATTCGCTGCTTCCGACAGTCGATTTTCGACACAAAATTAGCATGTCAAGCTGAGGAGTTGAGTGAGCCATCGAAAATTTCGTATACGCGACTTGTTTACGTAGAGGGACAATTCCCAGTAAGCAGGCTACTTCGCATAAACCGGAAACCAATGTACCCTTCCGTGCAAAAGTTGCTGCAGGAATGAGCAGCCTCAAAGCAACGTGTTTTCATGGCAAATCAATCTACACAGCATCACACACCATAACCTATCAGGCGGCTAGGAACAGTACATAGGCGGAAAGAATGTCTGAATCTTACAGCCATACGTACGCAATGATCATGGCCCAGTCTTCCCCCCACGTCATCAACTAAACTACATACGTACGAGAAATCAGCGAACTACCGCCCATCACACCCTCTCGTAGATAGACATCAAACGATAGACTACGGGCGAGCATCGCAAAATCTTAGCCAACGGGGCAAGACGCTGCCAGCCTATCCTATCCTACAAACTCACCCGTATATCCCCCCATACGCATGAGTTAATTTCCCAGCCACTCACACACCCGACTATTCGTAGACTCACATCCATATCGCACATCGCAACCAGTCACAAACCATGCATTTGAGGCCCTTTTAATCAGAGTTTGAAGCCAACGCCAAAGCCATGAGTGCCCCTCGGGATTGGCGCTACTAAGCGGCAATTTGCTGCTTTCATTGATCTGCTGTGGCGTTGGGCCGGGGCATGCGCGTCATCATTCTTCCCGTCCGGGTAGTGTGATTGCTCGAGTGGGGTTGGGCCTCACCGTCGGTCTGGGGGATTCTGGGAAAGTTCGAGCGGTGGGGAACGTTTGCGTTGTATACTGGATACATGGGTGAGTTGGGAGATGTGAATAGGAACCTCAAGTAAAACAGGGGGCATAACGATTTGGCGGCCAGTGGAGGGAGGTGGGTTTGCGTGGATCTGGAGTCGGTTTGTGAGTATCGTGGCGTTTGGGTTATTGGCACAACAACGGTCGTTAGTTACCTCACTAGTAACTTGGTTGACTCCAAGAAAGTGCGTCTTGTCGGGGTTGATGGGGTGGTGAAAGAAAGACGATGGTTTCGCCTGACAGTAGACTAGCACACAAGTGTCGCAATGCCTAGGTAATTTGCGAGACGCTTAGAACATTGTTTTTAGTGACCTGCCCATTATTCCGGTGACGACAAGAGTCTCACGAGCTATTGCGGGACATGATGTTTGTAAGACGAACGATGACGCATCACTGTCTCATGACAAAGTGAAACAGATGGGAAGCTTCACAAGCAAACGGCACGATAAGCGAAGAGTACTGAAAATGCATTTGAAATCACGCGAGGCTGTAAGCAAGAGCACACGCGAAGTATCATACAGAAACGGGGTGGGGAATCGACAGGTTGGAGCAAAGCGCGATGACTCAAGCTCGCTCACTGCTCACAATGGTAGGGCCATCATCGTCTCTACGTCGAGAGTTGCGATCAGGACCCTGGCCACGACCTCCTCCTCCTCTCCCCCGCCAAGGCATGCCTCCGCCTCCGCCTCCACCGCCTCGTTTCGACCTCCCGTCTTGTCCACCGCCACCACGTCCGCGGCCAACCTGGAATTGTATCCTAGTGAGCGGCTGTTCGACCCAGTCAACGCCCTTCAGACCCAAGTTCTGCTTCTCCCAATCACTGAGCTTCCAGGCTTGGTAGAGACCCATCAATCGTTGTTGGTCTATTTCTTCCTTTCCGGGACCGACCGTTCGTGTCAACTTGATGCCTCGTAGTTCCGGTACCCATGCTTTGATGTATTCGCCGTGCTTGTCGTAGTCGAGCGCTTGTTTGACGGGGTTGAAGACGCGGCCTTGCCGTGGGTCGTTGCCGACACCGGCGACGTATTGCCAATTGCCCCAGTTACTAGCGGGGTCGTAGTCCACGAGGAAGCATTCGTACCACTCGGCTCCGACTCTCCAATCTATGTTCAGGTGTGACGACAGGAAAGAGGCGACGTTTTGCCGCGCGCGGTTCGACGTGTACCCGGTGACGAAGAGTTCGCGGTTTGACGCGTCGATGAGACCGACTCCAGTGCGTCCAGAACGGAATCGTTGGAAAGATTCAAGCGTCTTGGCTGGATCGTCCCCAGCACCACCAGACTTGTCTAGTCGTTTCCACTTCTTTGTTTGCGACTCTCCCTTGTTGCCTTTGGTACCGCGATCTTGGATGCCGTATAGACTGAACATCTTATGTCCAAACTTTCTCATGCAAAGTCGCATGTAGTCTCTCCATAACAGCTCGAAACGTACAGCTGCTGTTCCGGCATTCTCACCCTTTCCGTAGCCAGCTATCTTTTCGCCAGGGCCACGCCCTTCCTCAAAATCGAGCATCGCCCAATGGACCTGCCTGGCGGTGATGTGACCTTGAGCAAGGTAGGCTGAAAGCTTAGTGCTGAAATCGAGACCAAGCATGCCGTTTCGTGTCTCCTTGTACGAGCTCATAGCCCCAGAGCTGATAAGATGGTTTATGCGATCCAGACCAGCAGTTTCTCCTCCCGAGAAAGGATGCGCTGACTGAGCATCGGTGGGCCATTGTGGTGGCCAGGTCAGGGTATATGTTTTATCGTGCTCCAGTGGAGACATCAAAACTCTCTTCAGCTTTTCCAAAGACGAAGGTATGGTAAATGGTTGTTTTTGGGGCGGTATGCTCGGCGGTAGCGGTGGAAGTTGAGACGGCGTGGGTAGAGTTTGGCGAGGTCGGTCGCGCAGTGGTTCGAGTCCTTTCCGGAATGAGGTATACACATTTGGTAGGTCGGAGATCTTGTCGTAGGGTAAATCGCGACTGTTGCGCGTTAGCATACTCTCCCAGACGCAGACAATCGTTTCAGGCAAAACTTACTCGTCTATGTAGTACTTCTCGTCGGCCCAGGCCTTGAAATCTACCCCATGCTCCTCTGCGAGTTTCTTTACGCTGTCTACCTCCTTCTTCTCTTCTGTGTTGTCGTCGGCGGTCATCCAGATGCCGCTAATCTTGCCCTCGTGCTCGCCTTTGGCATACCAGTCGAGTATGTCGGAAACCACCTCAGGCGTTCTGCCCACGCGCATCTCCAGTCCAGAACCGCAATTCAGCCCCGCGATCTTTTCCTTGAGATCCCACACGCCATCCGCTATGAATTGCACGCGATGGGGTCCTGTCCGCCATACTTTGGCCACCTCACTGCGCGCCTCAGGATACGGGCTTTTGTCGGTTGGGGAGGAGAGGAAGCCGGACACTTCGATTTGGTTGGCGGGAAAAACGTATACGGGTAAGAGGTGCGTAAAGTTTGCGCCGCCGTGTTCCGAGGTCAACGAGTCATCGCGGTGCCGTCTGTCACCGTTTGGAGAGTTTCTCGCGGAAGTTGGGCGCGCGGCGTGGAGGGAGGCGGCATGGAAGGCAGGATTGTCTGAAAGGCGGACGTCGCGACTGAGTACATAGAGCAAGATGCGAGGAATGCGGCTGGACATAATCGGAGGCTCGTCGTCGGCAGCACTAAAATTGCGAGTGCAACAATCGGAACAAACAAATAAATCGCAGGTGTTGCACGGCGGCCAGGAGCAACTACGTCGTAACATCAAGGTCACGATTCATAGAAGACCTGATAGTGGAGAGTCGGGAGCATTGCGGTGCCGCAGGCGAAAGAGAAGCTTCAGGGCCTGTGGGACGTCATGACCCTATGAAGGCGACAATGGGGCTCTCACCGAAATTTCTAGGGCACGAGGCCGCTGGACACTAAAAGGTGCCCTAAATGTCATCTGTCAGCCATATCAGGTATTCTCCACCGGAAGGGGTACAGATGGTCGAAACTGAGGAGATCCGGTTCAAGATTGGTGATGCTTGCTGCAGCATCGCCAACCAGGATTATGACGTGAGGGACGGCCTAGCGCGCCGCCACAATTCGCTATGGCCGCTGCAGGGACGCAAAACGAGCGACTTGGGGACGGGCCGAGCGTTCGTAGGGAGCGTAAAGCTGGCGATGGTCGTGCTGTCATGGAAGTACGGAGCGATCGCGAGACGTGCATTGCATGCGCCATGCCGCGACTGGCTAGCGACCAGCTGAGTTCTAGACGGTTCGGCGCCCAAAGCAGCCGCGCAGGGACCGCTAATCGTTCATCTTAGCAGCGTTGATCGTGCAGCTTGATCTCGATATTCGTCGATTCGGAGCGGAAATCGTGTGCCAGGTACCGCAAGGGGCACGTGGCTGCGACCCGGCTCGAGGTATGACATGACACCTGGCATGCTCCGCTCCCAGCCTGTCCGATGTCTCGCCGACTCGCAGACCATGGCCAAAGACTGTTTAATGCAGTGCCACCTCGCTTGCCCTCTACACTGTATTATGCACCCCATCACCAAGTGCTGGTAGTGATGAGCCTGCAGCATGTGTATGCCGCCGTTGCATTCGTGGTCCAATAGCTGCGAGTTTCGGATAGAGTGGTCGACTGAGCAGGGTATCACAGACGTGTGCGTCGATGGAAGGGGACAGTCTTGCTGGTGATCGTGGTTGAGCCATGTGTTGGGCATGGGCCGCGCCATCTCGTAGGAGAACGGCGATAGCTGGGTGAGCCGTAGGAACCTTGGAATGCACAAGCGCGCCAAGTCTCTAGAGAACCAGTCTTCCAAAGCCAACATGATTTGCCATGAAACGCCCAGGTAAACCATCTTAATGAAGATGCATGGTTAAAGCTACGAGAACGGCCAGTTCAACGGTTCACAACTTCACTCCTTCACCCCACGGCTCCAGATTAGGCCTAGCGCGACTGTGAACCACTCCTTCTTCATCGTATCCCAAAACTGTAAACTGCAGGCAACCGGGCCCCAAATATGCTGTATCTCCACCATGCTGCCTCTTAATCTAAACAAGGTCTTACACCACACTGGAAATCAAACCTACACCAAGGCAATCGACACATGCCTAGTAAAAATGCCTCACACAAGGCACAAGGTAAAGCGTTTATGTTTGCGGGCACCAATAGTTGCGACAGCCGTAGCAGTGCCACATAGTGATTGACGACGGGGAAGCATCGTTCCCCCACGTACGCAAGAGGAACTGCGCCACTGCGGAAACAACAGGCGTCAGAAAGTTCAAGTCCAAGTTGAAGCAACACAAGCACTGCTCGTATGACTCCCAGTAGCGATAGGCTTACATAGAACATGCGCAGTTGGTACTTGTTCAATAACTTGAGAATGAGGGTGATCACTTGGGTCAGCCACAGTCTATCTTGCAAACATTGTCCAGTAATATAGATTCAAACAGGACATCTCAGTTTACGGCATATGGTTATAAGCCTACGTCAACGCTATTGAGAGGCAGACTGCTCGAACCAACATCATGTTTGCCAGTTGGTCTAGTTAGACAAGACAAGATTCCAGCAAACGACATCAAAGTGACGAACAGATGCTCATTACATCAACTATGGCTAATCATGTCTGAAAGTCTCATCAATACATATTCATTACTCCACCACAGACACTCGACTGACCCCCTCCAACAGCCACAAACGCCTCACAAGCCTCCCTCCCACCATGGCCTGATCATCGCCCCATCTCTCCCCCACGCCACCCGCATAACCCGCGTCCGCCACATCTCCGATCGCGAGATCCAACTAACAAACCGTCCGATACACGCCGTCCGAGCTCGGCCTCTGCGCCTTATGCTTATGCTCCTTCCTCAATCCCTTATTAGCATGCGTCTTCTCGATACTCGGGCTGGCGCCAGGCTGGAATGCTGCAAGATCCACCGCATCCGTCTTCATCAGCATCTCGGTAACGCCACAGATATCCGTAACGAGTCTGTCGATCATGTCAAGTGACAGGCTCTCTCTGACGACTACTCGCAGGATCTCGGTCTTGTCTTCACCGGGTGGGAGCGGGTAGTTGGGGATGATGTATTGCTTGGCGCGGAGCAGGTTGCTGACTGCTTCTTGCTTGACGTGGGGGAAGTCTTTGTGGAACTCGTCGGTGAGCGTGAAGGCTACGACGGGGAGACCGGCGTTGTAGTCTGCGCTTGTGTCGCCTTCGTCGAATTGCTTCTTGCCTTTCTCGTACTTGAAGTCGCCCTTCTTGCGGTGGATGTCGCTGACGCAACGGTACCAGCCCGTGTGCTCGAGCGCCCTGCTCAGCAGCCGTGCGTTGGCCAACATGTTTTCCATGATGGCGCGGTAGCCAGAGAATCCCAGATGGATCAAATTGTAGTACTGCGCGATGATCTGGGCTCCTGGACGGGAGAAGTTCAGAGTGTATGACTCCTCCGTTCCACCCAAGTAGTGGAGCTCGAAGATCAGGTGCTTGGGAAGGTAGCTTTCGTCTCGCCAGATAATCCAGCCGACGCCAGCATAGACGAGACCGAACTTGTGTCCACTGGTGTTGATGGATTTGACTCGCGGTAGCTCAAAGTTCCACTTCTTGCCAGCCTTTGCGTGGGTGAAGGGGGCAATAAAGCCACCAGATGCTGCATCCACATGGATGGGAATGTCGTTACCAGTCTCCTTCTCGAAAGCGTCCAGGATATCGGAGATCTCTTCGACGGGCTCGTAATGTCCGGTATATGTGGAACCAAGAATGACAAACACACCGATAGTGTTCTCGTCAATGTTTTCTTTCACCAGCTTTGGATCCAGACGGTAAGACGATTCCTCGCTTACGGGCAGGATACGTGATTCAACCTCAAAGTACCTTGCAAACTTCTCTAGCGCGACTTGTGCGTTTGCGCCCATGATGATGTTGGGGTTCGAAGTATCCTTGCCCTCTGCCCTTCTCTTCTCTTGCCAGCGACGCTTCATTGCGAGTCCACCTAGATGGATAGCCTCACTCGAACCAGTAGTCGCTGATCCGATGGCCTTCTCGCCCTTCTGTGCTCCCCACATATTAGCAATGATGGAAACACACCGTGCGTGCATATCCATCATTGCAGGGTACTCGTCAGCGTCTGACATGTTCTTCGACAAGTTTTCGATCATAAGCTGCTCGGCTTCCTTCTCCATGTAGGTTCCGACGAAAGACGCCAAGTTCAAACTTGGGCGTCCATCCAGATCAAGCTCATCCTTGAGCAATTGGTGAACAACATCCGCTGGAGCACCATCGTGGGGGATCTTGAATTTCGATAGCTCGGTGCCAGCGGCATAGCGACTCGAGTATGGTGTGATGTGTGATGTCGCCCGGCTCGAAGCTTTGTGGCCTCCAGCCTTGTGCATGGGGTGGTCCTTCAGAGTCTCGAGGAGCTCATCGGTGTCAACGTGTCTAGCGAGTCCGGCCATGGTGATAAATGTTCGAAGAAGGTGTTTATGTTAGTACAGGTTAGAATTGGTACAAGTTTTGTATGTATCGGGCAGAGAATTCTAGTCTTATACGAGTGTTTGCTGGTACACGTAGACAGCGTACATGCGCATGACGACACATTACGTCCGTTGTCGCTCGCAGACACACCGGCAATGCAGCAAAAACTCGAACATGCAGCCCAGGCAGAACCCAGTCTGAAAAGCTTGACATTTGCTTGGTAAAAAGCTTGTTTCTGGCAGTGAAAAGGCCCCGTTGAAGGCATGGCAGCCAATGAAGGATGCATTCCCGCGGCCCACTGCGGGTGTTGGCTATGTGCTCAACCGGAGAACCGGCAAACAAAGTAACAGCATACGCGTCGGCTTCTGGTACTGGCTGATCTAGCCTCGTACCTTGCAGAGAAAGCGCAGTGCGAAAATAACGCATGGTGACGAACCTGCGTTGTAGCATTAGCCGGAAGCAAGTAGCCCTGGTGTGTTTGTGCTATTGATGGGTCGATGACGAAACCCCTCCGGTGTTTCGTTTCGCCGACAGCGCGTCATCACGTGATGAGCCAGACACCCCCAAGCATCCCATGCGTATCGGATGTTGGAGATTCCCAGCGGAAGTGTATACAGATCCGCTAGAGCATCCCAAAGACTGGATCTGAGATCGCAGACTTACCCGGTTGAAGGCTACGAAACACTCAAAGTTTCGGGTGGTGAGATGGATCGGTGATCATGACGTAGTCACGTCGTCGCCGTCCAGCACATCCGCCTCCGCCGTGGAAACGCGGGGAAGATCGACTGACGCGTCCTTGACAGCCTGGTACGTACAGCACGCGGCCGCGAGGCCTCGACGATGCGTTGGAAGTATACCTCGAAGCCGGGTGTTTGTACCTAGGTATACGAGTGAATACGAAAGCGAAACTGTCCAACCATTGCTGCAGCATCATCCTCTTTTCCAACCGGCACAATTCTGGTTCGTTGGATTCGTCCGCCTTGTAGTCCGACACCCAAACAAGCGGGTCACTTACCGACGCTCCGCCCCCCAATAACGTCGCCACGCAGTGGTGTTGTAATCGACTCGGCTTACTCTTTAGCTTCGCTGCCTAGCTACATCTTACCTGTGTTCCTCTACCAACTTTTCCCCATCCCCCGATTCCCCATCAATCACTAGGTCACCATGCGGTTCTCACGCGTTGTACCAGTCTTGC